GGTTAGATGCTATTTGCCTGCAATTAGTGGCTTCACTTTGCAAGGGTGGGAAAAAACCCTCTTCCGCACAGGGATCTTCCTTTTGACAGGGCCTGTCCTTGCGAATATTAACCCTTTCCAGATCAATCCGACCTTTTTTTCTTTAGTGTTGACTTGTGCAACTTTGCAGCCAAGAACCGAAAGCTCACGGGGAGAGAGAGATAGATTCAGAAGACTTTTAGCCAAAAAGGAATATCTTCACACTGGAATGCATTCTTACTGTATTTTTATTTGGCTGGCGTATGAGGGAAATTGGTATTAAAGAGTTTTGAACACTCCAAGAGTTCCTTTCTTTTTCGGGAGGGGAACATCCCGTTTTATTCAAGGGGTGGGGGTTCCTCAAAAATCCCTTGAGGAGTAAGGATGAATAGGCAAAAAAGAAGAGAAGCAATTGGATTTATACCCCACCCTTCACTACACAAAGGAGTCTCAGAGCGGCTTACAAACTCCTTTCCCTTCCCCTCCCCACAACAGACACCCTGTGAGGTAAAAGAAGAAGAAGAAGAGATTGGATTTATACCCCGCCTTTCACTACCCAAAGGAGTCTCAGATCGGCTCACAAACTCCTTTCCCTTCCCCTCCCCACAACAGACACCCTGTGAGGTAAAAGAAGAAGAAGAAGAGATTGGATTTATACCCCGCCCTTCACTACACAAAGGAGTCTCAGAGCGGCTTACAATCTCCTTTCCCTTCCCCTCCCCACAACAGACACCCTGTGAGGTAGGTGGGGCTCAGAGAGCTCTTGACAGAAACTGCTCTTTTTCAAGGACAGCTCTTGTCAGAACTACGGCTTGCCCAAGGTCATCCAGCCAGGTGCAAATGAAGGAGTGGGGAATCAAACCCGATTCTCCCAGATTAGAGTCCACGCACTTAACCACTACACCAAAGACACATTATGTATGCAGGGTTTCTCGGAGGGAGTGAGGGAGCGAAACGTACAATATTCTGGGGTCCTGGACCACCCTGGGCAGTGAGTTAGGTGTCATTGGGGGGGAGGATACCAGCAATATACCAGTTCTAGTCAAGTATCTGTGTGTGTTTCTCTCAATGGGGAGGCCCAGAGGACGTCTGTCTTAGCCTGTGGACCTGTGACGGTTCTCATGTACCGCCCCCCAACTGTGCAGAGTAGTGGAGTCAAAACTTATTTCCCACCTACCCCCTGGCTTACCATCTTTTCCCTCATCTCTATCCACCACCACCACTCTGGCCAATTCGGACCATCCCGTGCCACCGAATTTTCGTCCCGATGTGACTCGAAGCCCCAAACCTAGTGTGGGAAGCGCCCGGGGGTGTCAATAACAAAGTTACGGTTTGCTTCTCCAGATGGCAGCAGGGGTGGGGAGGCTCTCCCGCTTTCGGGATCTGTGCCCTGCTTCAAAACAAACGCAACCCACTCCGGCTCCCTCGCCGGCACCCCTTTCCTCGGGCCTTGTCCCCTGTCACAGCCCTGCGCCAAACCTCAGAGCCCTTCTGCTAGGCTTCCGTGCTCCCTCCCAGGCCGGCGCCGAAGGATGTGCCTCGAATTCTAGTTGCGCTTTGCTGTTATTTGCATTGCGGGTGGGAGAGGAGGGAAGGGGGCGTAAGGAGGAGTGGGCGTACATCAAGCCCGTCTCTGCTGCACGGAACTTAAATGTCCGTGTGTCCCCCCCCCAAAATCTGGCCCTTCCGTTCCATCAAAATAAAAAACAAAATCCCACAACGGTGGCTGTGCATGGAGTGTCTTCCTTTTTATCACCAGCCGTTCTCCATGGGACCCAAGGGGGCCGTAAAGTAACCCAAGCCAACGACAGGCAGGCACCGCAGGCCTGCTCCCCACTTCTGCAGAAACCGAGCCATAAAAGCCCTCTCCTGGAAATTAAGCCCCTCGTAAAACCTCTTAATCATTCCCCTTTCTCGATCTACCCATGTACCCGGCACCGTGCCCCTGTCTCTGCGCATTGGCCTCCGGAGCAGAAAGCAAGCAGGGCAGCGGGTAGAGGACCAGAGGGCGGCTGTGCGGGCCCAGAGCTGCGGGCACTCACAGTGGGTTGCCGCTACCCTTGCCGGCCCTCTAGTCCTACCCCCTGCACAATGCTGTTAGCAGTGAGGCCATAAGCTCAGTTTGCTTGGCATGCAGAAGGTCCCAGGTTCGATCCTGTGTGGTGGTAGGTTGGCCCTTCAGGAGACCGAGACACAGCACTGCGGGAGGCTGAAATATCGTTAAATCAGGGCCCTAGTATCACTTCTGTCTGCACGCCATCTCGAACTGAGTGAAGAAAGAAGATCACTACGAGCACTTTCTGGTATCAGTTGCATCTCAGTGAACTGTATAATTGTTTTATCTTGTTTTTAACTGTTTTATCAAGGCATGTGGTGCCGCTGACTGTTCGCCGCCCTGAGCCCGCTCGCGGGGAGGGCGGGATATAAATCTGATAAATAAATAAATCTCAGCATCTCCAGTTAAAGGATTTCCTAGTAGTGAGGAGGAGGAGGAGGAGATTGGATTCATACCCCACCCTTCACTACCCGAAGGAGTCTCAGAGCGGCTTACCATCTCCTTTCCCTCCCCCTATCCCACAAGAGACACCCTGTGAGGTAGGTGGGGCTGAGAGGGCTCTTTCGAGGACTGCTCTTGAGAGAACAGCTCTGAGAGAACTTGTGACTGACCCAAGGTCACACAAGCAGCTGCATGTGGAGGAGTGGGGGATCAAACCTGGTTCTCCCAGATTAGAGTCTCTGCTCATAACCACTGCACCAAATTGACTCTCCGTTATGTGATTTGGAGGACCTCTGCTGAGACCCTGGAGAGCCACTGTCAGTCTGTGTGGACGATGCTGACCGTGATGGACGAATGGTCTGATTCAGTCGAAGGCAGCTTCAGGTGGTTTTGCGGTTGCAACGGTGCTCCGCCTAGCCAGGAACGGCCCTGTTGCGGGGGAGACAACTTCTTGGCTGCCCCAGCAGAACCAGGTCCTTGTGGCTAAATGCTTCCTACATCTAACCTGCGATACTTGACTGGGGAACGTTGACAACATACAATCACCCCCTTAGACCTGGATTCACTTCTTTTTTGCCATTGTGTCACAGCGGAATTTCGACGACCCCTTATGGGGTTTTCAAGGCAAGAGATGTTCAGAGGTGAGCCTGGTATTCCTTGGGAGGTCTCCCATCCAAATACTAGCCAAGGCCGATCCCGCTGACCTTCCGAGATCTGATGAGATCAGGCTAGCCTGGGCCATGCAGGTCAGGGGGGTTTCACATGTGGGCTGGACAAATGCACAGAGGACCCACGCCATGGCAAAGCTGTGTACCAGGACATTTGCCAGCATCCCTAAAAGAATGTCCAGGGAAATGCCAATCGCCACTTTGGGGGTCAGGGGAAGCAGTTTTTCGCTAGGCCAGTTTGGCTGGGGATCCTGGAGGTTTTTTGTCACCTTCTGGGCGTGGAGCAGGGGTCACTGGGTGTGTCTGTGGGGGGGGGGAGGTATTTGTGAATTTCCTGCATTGTGCAGGGGGTAGGACTAGATGTCCCTGGAGGTCCCTTCCAACTCTGATTCTAAGAATGCCCTCTGCAATGAATGGGAAACTTTAAAAGACTTCAAGGTCGTTGAGTTAACACCAGTGGCACGCGACGCATCACTGGGAGTGAGCAATCCATGTTCTTGTTGCTTAACGTTGCTCCTGTCCCTGCCACTGCTCCTTCTCCAGTCAACCATGTCAGATTTGTGCAAGGCCTTGTGTGTGTGTGTGGGGGGGGGTTTGCCGGCGGGTCCTGAGGGCGCTGAGAGTTTCTGCTGAGTCGGTGCAATTGGAGGGCTCGCGACCTTGCCCTCGCTGGCAGACAGTTCCCCTTTGCTTTCCGTCAGGCAGATGAGCAGCTCTCCTGGGGGGGGGGTGTTCTGATTTGTTGGCTTCCTCCGATGCAAAAACAGGCTTCCTCAAAAACGACGCTAGGCTTCCAGCACGGTGCCTGTCCTTGTGCACTATGACTGCTGGAAACGGGGTGTTGCGGTAACCAGCGAGAATGCGGCAGGAGCCTAGGGGGTCTTGCGGGAAGCGGCCGGTTCTCACAGGCTTCCTGGGTTTAGAACTTCCAAAAGACAAACCGGGAACACGGTGGGTAACACTAGAGTAAAAAAGGCAGCACCACGTAAAAACAACGTGTTGTATTCTATATCGAAATCATTCTAACCGGTAACGCTCATATAACCATTATGTTGCGCTTTACAAGTAATATTTGCAGTCTTAACTGTGCCTGCTTAAAGGTATATACATCGATGATGTCGCTATATTTATACTAACATGAAAGAGTCTCACTTAGAATAACTTCAACAGGGTATGACCATTTTCAACAATCATATTATATTTGAATTGCTTGCTTTTTTGGTAGTCGTCTTTGTGAAGTGATCATTAGAACAGTTCTGTCTAGTGGTAAAGCAAAAAGTAGTTATACACTGCTTATAGCAACCCAAAACTGCTTCCAACTGATGTTATTTCATTTCAACATTCTCTTTCTCAATATTCGCCGTGTATGTCTGAGAACTTGCTGCTTCATTGACTGGAACATAGAGAGAAGTGGAAGAAGAGCTTGGATTTATACCCCGCCCTTCACTACCCGAAGGAGTCTCAGAGCGGCTTACAATCCCTTTCCTTTCCCTTCCCCTCCCCACAACAGACACCCTGTGAGGTAGGTGGGGCTAAGAGAGCTGTCCCAAGAACTGCCCTTGAGAGAACAGTTCTGAAAGGACATATAACTGATCCAAGGTCACACCAGCAGCTACATGTGGAGGAGTGCGGAATCAAACCCGGTATTCCCAGATTAGAGTCCAGTAGTGTAACAAATACAAATGAAGCTCAAATACTTTTGCCACCAAATGAGAAGGGAGCACTCACTGGAGAAGACCCTGATGCTGGGAAAGATTGAAGGTAAAAGAAGAAGGGGAT